CACTAGCAGATAAGAAGATGGAAGGGTTTTCAGCCTTGAGCATTTGAAGGGGCAGCTGAGTCTTACACTGAAAATTGAGTGTTATTTTCCTGTAATACCCTGTCAGAGAGTTAGAGTCTTGGGAACGTGATGCTTCTCTCTTTGCTCTTTAGTGCAGTTCCTTGCACAAAATACTAAAGTTGAAATGTTGAGTCTTGTTTGTTATGTTTAGGCCTCAGTTTATGGATTAAATGTATTTTCATACCATTTACTAGGTTGTCTGAGTATATAGCTTGTTAAAATAATTTTTTTTAGAGTAGGAGATCATTGGGCCAAGTGGAGAGGAAATGGGCAGTTTCCCAGTGAAGTTTTGCTGTGTACAGTGAGCAGTAGCAGATTTGAGCTATGGGACCCCAGGGTCTTCTTTGCCTCCTTTGTCTCCTTCACCAGAAGGAGAGTGTTAGGGCAGTCCCTGATTAAACAAGGTACAGAGCAATGGGACACACACATATGCTATGCTCCTGTGTTTTGAAAGACAAAGAGCAAAGGAAAGTCAATAAGCTGTGTGGTATGTTACAGGAGAAATATTTTTTGTTTTCCTTTTCAATTTATTCTCTTAAAGGACATCCAGTTAAACTTGGTGGAGGCTGCAAGGCCCAAGTTTAGTGTAATGAAATATTTTATAATCAGTGAGGCCATGAACCATTTTGGAAATGCCTGCTGATATTATTTGTAAGCTTTAAAAAAGTATTTGCAGATATTTTCTACATAGCCTGTTCTTTTTAGTGCCAGCAGTCACTGCCAGTACTATCAATACAGAGATGATCTACTCAGAGATGTGAGAAGCTGTACTAGGTCAGGGGTCATTGATTTCCATATGCCTGAAACAAACCCCAAAGAGCACAGCACAAATACAAGGATGTGGAATGTGCTTCCTCTGGTTCCCTCTGTACTGCCTGCAAACTGCCAGTGGAGGAAGCAGCAGTGTGGGAACTTCCCAACTGCCAGATCAGGACAAGCATTTCAGATGGCAAAAATAATCCTCTGGAGCTGTGCCTGAGCTCTGAGAGGAGTGCACAGGTGGTGTGTGTCTGGCTGATACTTCTCGGATAGTTCCTGACATGAATAAACTTCCATCAATACATTGATTTCTTTACTCATGTTGTGAAGAAAACTTTTATCAGAGGTTCTGTTACAGTTTGTGTAAACCAGAACAAATGCCCGTTTTCTGTGTTAAATAAAAAACAAATGGGGGACAGGCCCATCAGGCAAAGCTCCATGGAGGACAGTGGGGACAGTCACACTGTTCCTGGCCTTGGGCTGAGAGATAGGGCTCACCTGTCCATACTTCTTGACTTCTACCTCTGGTGCCTCCTTCCTTTGATGCCTGTGGTGGTGCTTTTGGTAATTCTGAGGAAGCGTATCCTACACAGAAAAAAAATCCTATTTGTTTAAAAGGGTGTGTAATGAAAGATGACTGCAATTATTGCATGCTGTTACATTTGCACATTTGAAGGTTAATTCATGTACTGCACTCAGACACAGTCAAATATCCAGGAGAGATGATTCTGATTTTAAAAATAGACTGGTTATTACAAAGCAAGCAACTGAATAGAGATGAAACAGCAAAACTCCACCTGATTCCAGTACTGTAAAATTGTCAATGACATGTACTAGTAAACCTCATGCCAACTTAACTATTGCTTTTCTTATAGAAAGTGACAGAAACAAGTCTGTGCAACATAAGGTGTGGGCATTTGCAGTGTGCTGACAAACAGGAGGCCAAATTAGTTCCCCATGTCTGAGCCCCCTTTGCTTTTTCTGGAAGTGAAATTTTTGTGTCAAAGCTTGAAAAAGTAGAATACGGACAAGTCAAACAATTTCAGGCATGTCCAGGCACTTCCTCAAGGCTTTGCCATTGGAAAACAGAGTCTATATCTACCAAACACTGTATGGACCAAACAGCAAGCAGCACACCAGGGGAGGGAACAAGCTCCTTGCAAATGCACACATATGTGTCTGTATGTAGAGGGTATCTGTGAAATGCTGACCTTCTCGTGCTTTTGCAAAGGACTGACTGTAATGCTGCTGTTTCCCTTTTTGCTGCTGGCTTGGTGAACTTGCAGCAGCGTGGCCTGGTTGCACCTTTGTAGTTTGTGCACTGAGAGCCAAATATTGGTCCCAGTGAAATTAAATATTACCTCCTGCAAGGAAGAGGCAACCTCTCTGATGAAGACGACAATTTGGCCTTGAGAGTGCCTGGTAGATTTAGCCAGCAACATAAATATAATGCCAAAGTTCTGTATTCCTTCTAAACACAGCTCTCCTGAGGATTAGTTGGTGGGAATTCTCTTGGTTTTACATCTGTAGATTAAATAATCTCAACAGAGGGTTTTTTAAAACCAGATACTGCGTGTGCATTGATCTTGTGTCCATCACTTATGAAGATGATACTGCCCTTTGCATCCAGGTGATTGCAGAGACAGGGATGTGACCTGGCTGTGCCAAGGGCAGAGCATTTCCCTGGGAACACTGCCTGTGGTAAATGTTGGGTTTCTGTTGATAGGTACTTGTGGGATATATGCTTTCTGCAGCAAGGAAAAGGAAGGGTATTTGGGCTTCAGCCTCCAATAAACTGTGTTCCTTTGGGCTTGATCGTAGCAGTTATTAATATAATAAATAATAAGTCCCATGGGGACTATAGCGACACCAACATGATGTGTAACAAGAGATCTTTATTCAAGGAATCCCAGCTTATATAGCAGTTTCAAATGCTGCCACGTCACACAGGTAACTTCTTAAGCCAATCCCATACAAGCATTCAACAGAGCATGTGTGACAGAGTACTTAGAACTACAACTCCCAGGATGCTTTGTAGCACCTGCTGTAACCAGACCCCATTATTCCCCCATTTTTATTAATAACAAGATACAAAACAGTGTAAATTCAAAAAACAGTGCAATTCTTAACAAAACGTTTTTCACTTGACATAGTAAACTTATTTCTTGATTAAACCTTATTTACCTAAGGGTTTTTTGCAATTGGGTAGAACAAAAACCTTTATCAATCTGAGGGTTTACATATAACTGGGGAAAAGTTACTTTATTAAAACACAAGGAAAAGTATAAAGGAGGAACATCATGTTTTGAGTTGTCTTTTATTAAGGCGATGTATTAGAGGTAGTGTTTGTTGTGTGTGTTCGTTTCAGGTATTTTGTATAAGGTGTAAATGGTTCACATAGATTCATACATTCACACAATCTCTCACTCATTCGTTCGGGTGGCCACCCCAATCATTTTTCATTCATGCATACATGTAATCTTTATTTTGTTTTCATATTCTAGCTATACAACTTAAACTTTTATGTAGTGTTTGGTCAGAATGAAAATTCTTTAACTCAGGATTTACTTACTTAATTACATGCAAATTCTCACCCTCTACTCCCCTTCTTTTGTTGTGAATATTGAAAGTTAATGAATTTAAAGGTATAATAGTGGTAAGTAGTGTGTATATTTCTGAGTGTGTACTTAGAGAAATGAATAGGTAGGCTACTATTATAATCTGTTAACTAATAACAACAGAAATTCTTAAAGATGCTAATTACTACTTAAACGAGACAGTTACAAACTTAAACTTATTTAGATACATTTAAGAACTTAATAATTTTAAACAATACTCAGTAAATGTGACTATTAGTAATTTAAACAAAGCTACAGGGAAATTGGGAACTTAAAAATGTATTAATAAGGCAATGTTGAATTTTTCTCTCTTATTAGTGTAATTAGAAAACTAAAGACAGTTAACTAAATTATTTTAGAAACATTTGTAATAATTTCTAAAGGCTTATATGTAAAATATGTAAAAACAGTCAGTAATATAGTGTCTGTATAGTTTTGACCCCGGCCCAGGTCTTTGTCCGGGCTGCTGCCTCTCTCACGGCGGTGGGGAGGTGGTGTTGTCACTATTGACACTCCCGGAGGAGCCGGAGTCGCTGCGGCCATGGCCCAGCCCGCTCACGGTGGGGGCCATGTCGCTGGTCATCGCCGCCGGGCTTCGGCTCGGCCCGGCGTCGCGCCCCCGGGGCGGCTGAGTGGCGGCGCCACGTTGTGCCACATGTGCGGCTGTCCCGGGCCGCGCTGCTGCGGCCGCGTGGTCCGCTTCAGGGGAGCGGCGGCACGGGGGGGGCTGGCTCGTGTAGCGGAACGCGGCCGTCAGCTCTAGGCATGGCCTGGCCGCCAGCATGGGCTGCTCGCACTCCAGGTGCAGGTGGGTGGCGAAGGCCTCGCAGCTTTGCATCACTGACACGTGCTCGCTGAAGCCGCCACGGTGCCCCACGCGGCCCTAGCTTCATTTACAAACTTGAGCCACAGTTCCAGCGCAAGCCTGCTCGGCCTCCTGGGATGGCCGTGGGGCCGCCCCGCAGCTTCTCTTTAGGCACGGCGGCCACCCCCCCCGGCTGAGGTTCCACATGGAGCTCCGCCAGGAGCTCCACGTGGGTAAGGGGCGCGGTGGGAGTTGCCGCCAGCTGCGGCGGGGCTTCCGCGCTCGGGTCACTGCCTCCCGTTCGGCCGTGCCTTGACCGGGCCTTGGCCCGCTTGCGGCCTCCGGGCAGAGGCGCCCCGCGGCAGCACCTCTCCAGCTGCCCGGCCCCTTCCACGCTGTGCGCCGGGCCCACCGCTCCTGGTGGTGCCACCACTGCAGCCTGGTCGACACTAGCTGGTACCGCGAGAAGAAGTCACCGTCACCGCCGAGCCTGGCCCGGGGGCACCAGAGCCGCCGCCAGCAGTCCTGCGGAGCCTTGCGCAGCTCCACCCCCAGCCTGTCTCACCAAGGCTGCCGAGCATCCCAACAGCCTCATGCCTCGCACCGCCCCACTGCTTGTTCCAGCGCACTAATTGTGCGAGGGCCGCCACAGCAGCACGGAACTTTGCAAGCAGTCTTGACTTTGCTAGTCTGAATTGCCGCCCCTGGTCCCATTTACAAACCTGCGTTACACCCCTGGCGCAAGCCTGTTTGGTCGCTCAGTTCTCCGCTCGTAGTCTCGAGCGGCTCCACGCCTCTCCAAGATGCTCCGTCACGGCGTCTGGTATCGTGGGCGTGTAGTCCTCTAGTTGCATTAGGAAGTCCATGAACGGCGTGGTGGACACTATGGGCTTCATGTCGCCATTGGCCCCGGGCGGGACGTACACGCCGTTGGACGTGGTCCCATCCGGGGGAGCGGCCACGGCTGTGGACAACGGCACGGACCTCCTCTCGACGGCCACGCCGCCCTCGGCACCCTGCACCGTCCCAGCCCCCCCGCCCGGCACTGCTCTGGGGCGGCGCTGCCTGCAGCGGCCGGGTTGGGTTTGCTGCCTTCGGCAGGCACGGGCGGGGCCGCCGCGGTGGACACGGGGTCCACATTGGCGCTGCCGCTTATGGCCCCGGCACTGCTCGGCTGCCTTGGCTCGGAGTTTCCTCGATCCTGCCGCCACCAATGTCCACGATGGGGCGTCCTCGCGGCGAGGCGGGGGGACTTGGTCCGTGGTCGCTGTTTCGAATCTCGCGCCACGCACCTTGCAGCTATCACGTTCTCCATCTTTTTTAAACATCGCGCCGCTGTTGCTGGTAGGCACAGCAGCTGTTGCTTAGCTACCGGCTCCCAGCACGGACCATGTTCCATGCATGCCTCCGGCAGAGGCAGTTCACAACATGGCCACGAGACAGGAAGAGAAGGCACTACCTCTTGCTCCTGGCATGGGTAAGATAGCGCCGCCCATGCTCCGGCGTGGTCTACACGTGTCTGCAGGTTTTTAATGGCTTGGGGATTCAAAGTTTGTTCCCTTTTACCAGTCACACAATCCGCGACGCGCCTTCTTCCCGGAATTCAAGCATCCACGAAAATTCAGCGCAAAAAGGTATATTCTAAGGCTTTTCTTCCGTGCTCTCGGACCCCCTCCCCCTTTCCACACTGCAGTAGTACGTGGAGTTCCATGCTTTACAATGTCTGGGGGAGGGGAAGATCCAAAGTTTCTCTCTGTGGACAAGTTCTCTAGCGAGGGTTTTAAAGTGTCTACCTTTTTTACTTCTGCTTTTTCTCTGCTTCTCCACCCCTCTTTCCAAGCAATTTCACTAAGAATTGTAAATAACAGCAGTCCTAAAACAGTTATTTTCATCAACTTTAAAAGTCCAGCTATTTTATGTTTGTTAACTTGTCTCCAAAGTCTTTTCAATATTAAGCTTAAGGCTTTTGCAATATTCTGTGGTTCACGTGAATTAAAAGTTTTCATTTTTTCTCTTTTTTTGTTTTCTTTCTTCTCCCGCCCTCTCACCTGGGACGTAGATTTTTCTTCTCAAGAGCGTCCTCTCAAAATGTAGGCAATTTCCTACCGAATTCAGGCCTTTTTTCGAGCTCAATCGCGGTTTCTCCTGCCTACGCCCACCAGAGTTTCCTTTCCTCTGGTACCTGGCATTTATTTCTTTTTCAAGGTGGACGTCCCTCAGCGTTATTATAGGCTGGTTCCTGACATCTTGTCCGTATTTCTTCCTGATTCAGGATAAGGCTTAGGTCCCTGTTCGGGCGCCATATGTAGCAGTTATTAATATAATAAATAATAAGTCCCATGGGGACCACAGCGACACCAACGTGATGTGTAACAAGAGGTCGTTTATTCAAGGAATTCCAGCTTATATAGCAGTTTCAAATGCTGCCACGTCACACAGGTAACTTCTTAAGCCAATCCCATACAAGCATTCAACAGAGCATGTGTGACAAAGTACTTAGAACTACAACTCCCAGGATGCTTTGTAGCACCTGCTGTAACCAGACCCATACTTGATGTTTTTGTTACCCTCGTGTTCTTTTCAACAGTGGAATTTGGTCCTTTTGTCTTACCTAGATTATTGCCCTTCATTATTTGATGAAAGGAGCCTGAGGCCCCAGGCAAATAGGAGGAGAGGCAAGATTGGAAGCAATGGGATAAGTGATTGGCAAATGATCTTGGATTTACTGGAGTCCAATCTTGCCTTCTCTTTCTGTTGACTACTTGTGAATATTCAGCAGATCCTGCTGGGCTGGGAGAAAATTGCAGCAACACTCTGCAGGCAAATGCTGATATCTGTCTTGAAAGAGAGGTGTTTGTGGACATAACTATTAATGCCCAAAAGACACCAAACCTCTGGTTATTAGTCTCACCAAAGCCCCCTAATGCTGTTATTAGAACAAGGCTGAGTGTTTGCCTTGCACAGCATCTTTGCTGGCCCATCCACATCTCTACTCACATCTTTACAAAACAGAACCACTTCATGGAGAGGTATGTTTGACCCACAATAATCATTTGCATTAGTGTTAGCAGAAAAACCCTGCATGGTTATGCATGAAAACGTGCACTTTTAGTTTTAGCAGTCTCTCGCAGAAATCACCACAGCTTGTTTTTTGTTCAGTTTTTGCCCAATATTTTGGGGGGGGGGGGGAGGGGAAAATCTGACCTGCTCCAATTTGAGTGGTGTTAGAAACAGTAATTTCTTCTACTGAGATTGAAGAAATTAAATAACTGACTTTCCACTGATTTTCCATTATTCAGTTATGGAAGTTACATAGCCTTCAAGCTGGACCCTAAGAGATGCTACACTTACACATTCAGTATGAGTAGGCACACAGCATTTTCTTAATAGTCTATTCCTAATGTGTTTTCTAGTGCAAAACATAAGCAGATCATGGAAGCAAATGTATTCCTGCTGCTGTCTATTGTCTTAGGTGTCTAATCTGTTCATTTGATGCACTCATGCATGCCTTTCTTCTCTTATCTTTTTACTGAACCATAACACAGCAGAGTATATGATATGTAGCCCTTGTCTGTCCTAAGCTCTAGAGCTGAGAGGAACCTTGTTTATAAGGTGTGTTAGCTGTGGAAGAGAGAAGGCAATGTCTTCAGAGATTAATGGAGGTTATAAACACATGGTCTGAAAGGTATCCTGGGTGATCCTTTTTGACTCAAATATTTAGGTGAACCTTTGAGATATGTTCATCTTATTTTCCTCTGACGGTGAAAACTTCCATTCAAGAATCAACTGCAGAAGTGACCCTTTGGAGCCGATATTAAGATTCATCTGGCAAAGTTTTGGAATTTCATAATCATATAATTGTTGCCAATATGTTTTTCTTTCGCTTTTCTACTTTTCTGTTAATGGTATCTGCATTCCATGAAGCCTTTTCAATATCATTTGCTGCTGCATGAAAAATTATTAAGTCAGGGTGACTGTATTAAAAGAGAGTGTTTAAGCTTTGAAGAGATGCTTCAGTTCACCTGCTTGGAGAAGGAACATACAAGTGCAGGAGTAAGTAATAAGTCTTATATTTGGGTGGTGGTTGTGGATTTGAAATTGCAGGGGTGAGGACAGAAGAAACTAAACTGCAGGGCTGGCACCTGGATGTTGCAAATGGTCTGGCTTATTCTCTTGTATAAAATGTTACAATTTTACAATTTTCCAAGTCACTGATATAAGCATGGAAAATAGATAGTGTAATGTATTGTTAAATCAGTTTTAGTGGAAGCTTCTTATCACGACAATGTGATTGAAGCTTTATTTTTGTGGCAGCTTAGTGTTATAATGGCAGCATATTCCACTGATGAGTGAAATCTCAAGATTCAGAACATGCTTCCCACTCAAATCCTTTTGGAAGAGAACATAACTTCATATACAACCGCACTTTAGGTGTGGCATTGGTCTTCTCCTTAAATCTCTTATCATTGTTTCCACACAGCATAGTGGGAGTTAGAGAACAAGTCTGAAAGTCAGAGCTGGTGTAAACCAGTGCTATTCAGTAAATTCTGGTGGAGTTGTACTATTTCATACCTACTTTCAAAGAGGGCTTGCACAAAAATGATGATACCATGAAAGTGACATGATGTTACCCTGGCTGCCTAAATTTGTTCCACCTGCTGCTGGAGCAGATAAAAGCAGATGTAATAGAAGGACTATGCTATGTGTGGGAGGCAGCCTGCATTCTGTTTTTTCAACACTTTATAAATGTCATTTAATTTGTAATAATTTCTTATAAATTGCAGCAAAGACACTTGAATAGAAGTTCCTTTTTTTCTCTTTTAAGTGACAAAAAAAAGAAAAAAACAACACTCTAGCTTTCCAGAAGGGCCTAAACTGTTATTTCTCCTCAGTATCAAAGCATTTATGTTCATAGAATTTGAGTTTCTCGCAAGCCTGCATTGCTAGCAACATGTCTTTCTTTGCTTCTGGGTTGGATAACAAGAGTGTAACAGGAATATTCTTCTTGCCTTTCAGATGAAGCCTTCTGTCATCAGCTGGTTGATACATTTCTTTTAATTTGTCATGGATATTTCTGTGTTTTCAAGGAGATGTCTAGACTGAAAGTTGTAAGAAACAAACTTAAAAGTCTTTAAATCTGTGTCAAAGAGTCTAAATACAGACATGACAAGTGTGCCAAAATCTGATTTGTAAGTGTGACTAAATCAAGCCTTACAGGACTATATTATGGATCTTTCTCCTCCTATTAGTCAAAAAAACTATAGCCAAGCCATAACTTCCTACAAAACCTCAAAGTATTTAGACTGGGTTATCTAAGCAAGTGAGACACTTAACATTTGCAGGAAAAGTATCTTATGAAGAAAAAAAAAATTAGCGATTGTCATCAATCTGACATTCAATATCTGCATTTTAGGAACATAATTTTTTTATGCTAATTGGGGTGATAGATTTGCTATTCCTTTTCTAGATGCATCTTTGTATGTCCATGACAGTACCAAAGGTGGTGTGTACAGGTTTCTGATTGAATCGTGGCCACCTTATCAGTCAGATGTGGCCATGTGGGTGCTAGAAGTCACTATACCAACAGAAGCTGTGACATGGCAGCAATGTCTGTGTTACTTACTCTTTTGATCACAGTAGATTTCTGTTGACCCAGGCTTTGGCAAAGAGTCCCTCCCTCTCACCAAGTGGCACTTGAATTTTTCTTGCCTTTTCTAGGCCTTGAGCTTTGCAGCTCAAAAACCTGTTGGGAAACACACCGGGGATGAAGGGTCTCTGCCAACCTTTCTCTTGATAATTGATAGGAAGTTTGGATGCTCTAACCCTTCTCAACCCTCTGTATATGGCTAATGCATGGGTCATTGCTGTTTCTCCCTGGGCAACTCCCTCTAGAGTTGCTTTATGCACCAGCAAACTCTAAAGTACAAGGCATTATCACTTGTTGCCACAACCATGTTTGCATATGGAAAACGAGGTACATAAAAATGTCAGTCACATAATATGAATCCACAAATAAAGCTTGTTTTGGACCTACAAAAAGGCTTTAGGTGAGATAATGTCATGGTATTTGAACAAGTTGTGGTTCAGCTCTTAATCCTAACTGCAGACTTGTGTCAAGGTGACTGTGGGCTCACAGTTTGTCTGGGAACAGGTATTTCTTATTGCTCAGAACCTCAATTAAATTTACACTCAACTGCTGTATTCCAGCAAGCAGTGTCTGCAAGACTTTGTCTTCATCCTTGGCTTGTGGCTTCCAAAGAAATAAACCAAAAATATTTTTAAATGGTATATTTTATAGGTAGGCATATAAGCATA